TGGATCGAAACCCACCATGCAATCACTACACTACCAGGGCCTTCACCAACCCACACTACACTACATATACACCCAGACACCCCCTCCACAGGCATGCACTCACCGCACCCACACACACAATCACACCACATCATATCATATACCACACACATTCACTATACCCACACACCACTGTATCTATTTCCCATGCACGTATTCACCATATCTACTCACACAACACATACACACACCACACAACAAACACATCACACACACTCACTGCATGCACTCACACACATATACTATAGCCCCCACCAACTTAGGATCCCAACCTTAACACAATTCCCGGCCCTCCTATAACTAACCGCTGGGTGCTGGGAAGAGGCTACTTTATGATGAGCCCCTCAATCATCAGAGGACAGGAAACGGGAAAGGGGACAAAGGGTAAAGCACTATGACATCCGTACGGCTCCTCCAACGTACGGCTCCTCCAATGTCGGGCCCTCCTTCTAGGACCACCAGGAACTTTGAGGTCTCAATCAAACCCCAAGTTCCTAACCAAACTTAACTCCCTGCCTTCAAGTTGATACTGGCTCAGCAACTTTACAGGACAGGATAGAACTGCCCCGTGAGTTTCTGAGCCGGTAACTCTTTATGGGAAAAGAAAGCCTTGTCTTTCTCCCAAGGAAAGACGTAGTTCTGAACTGCTGACCTTGCTGCTACCAGCCCAGTGCATAACCATTATGCCATCAAGGCTGGGATCGGGAGCACCATACCTTTGCAGGTGAAGCACTTGATGTGGAAATGCTTGGTCTGGACCCGCAGCACCTCGCCCTTGCATGGCTCCCCACACTTGTGGCAGTGGATGACAGGCTTCTCGGAGGAGTGGGGAGGGTCCTGAGGGTGGGCCACTGGAAGAAACAGAACACAAGATTCAGGGGAGGAGAACACAGTCCTGCAAAAGAGGCCGTGCTGGGGGGTCACTACCAATCTCACCACAATGAACTGTCAAATGATGGACACAGTCCTTTGATAAGCATGACTTGAGCATTGTCTGGGCCATAATCAGGTTAGTAGGACACAGAGGTAAATAAAAAGTTGTGGCTTTGAAAGCATGGTGGTGGTGGTGGGGGATCCTGGCCTTGCTTCTTTGTAGAACTGTCTGTCTCTCTCCCTTCCCATGCGCCTTTGGGGCTGTATCAGGCCTACACACTGAGCAACTAAATAGATGGTGGCTCTGCTTGCGTCATTGTTTTACATGCACTTAGAATCCCTGGGTGGTGCAAATGGTTGCCGGGTCAGCAGCTCAACAAAGGGTGCGACTCTGGAGTCACCCAGAGGGGTCCTGGAGAACGGCCATGCCTGCTCTCCTTCCTCCCAGAGGTCCTCAGACACAGAGCATTGGACATCTAACCACCGAGGTAGTTAGAGGACAGCGCGGTCTTTCCTGGCCTGGACCCGCTCAACGGCAGCTGGTGGTGGCTGTTCCCGGCCTCTGGTTCCACCAGCCACAGCTCATCTGACTGTGGCACCCCACACCACCCATTGGAGGTGAGTTAGGAGCCTTCCCTGCACACGGTCGGGATACCCACACTGCAGGCAGTGGCAGGAAAAGTCATCGTGCGGGTCTCTCTGCACGTCAGTTTCTTCTGCGGTAAAATGACAAAGATGGACGGAGGATCTCCAGCCTCCCCTTCCCCTCTCATAGCATCAGGCTTCTAGGGCTCATTCTCCCAATGTCCCCCGTGTGGCTGTCACTGGGGAGTCATTGGGACTCTCCCCAGAACAGGAGCTGAGGATTTAGAGGCCACCCCTTCCAGAGAGGGTGTGATTAAGCAAGGGTCTTCTTCCAGGGTGCGGGGGTCCCCAGCCCGAGTGCTCAGGTTGGCATTCACTGCCATCTCCTGCTGCTGCCGGGAGCCCTTCGAAGGGGGTCACCCGATAGATAAAACTGCATTACCTAAGTACCTGCATGCGTGGGACAGGGGATAGGAAGAGTGAACCTAAAATTAACCACTGACACAAAGCACAAAGATCATTTGTTTTCTCTCTGATGGTAAAAGGGGTGGGGTGGGGGGCAGAGGGGAGAGGCGGCGGGTCCCTCTGGAACTGGATTCGACAGGACCTTTCAGCCAGGAGCTCCCTGCTCCCTGTGTCTCTCAGACCATGGAAACGGACTCACTTTGCCTGGAAAGAGTGCACAAGACGCGCCAAGGAATCCAGGAGCACCAAGTGCCTCCCGACAAACAAGCTGCTTCTTGTGCGAGTTTGCTCGGGGCAGGTGTCGTTTCAGGTGGAATACCTGTCCGACCGAGAGTGCCCTGGGCAGTTCCTGGTGTGGTGACACGCCTGCACTTCTTTATCTACCTGCTGACCCCTCTCTCAGAAAGCCGAGTGTCCCCCACGCTCGGGACCCTGAGCTCACCTGAAGCATGAAGGAGGGGCGTTGTTCACCACCTTTGTGAATGGCCCCGGGCCTAACACTCTTCACGGACGAACAACAGAAACCACGGGGGCAGAGAGACAGCGGTCGGTGTCCGATACGAAAAAATAATTTATAATTTATCAAGGGTCACAAGAGTGGGAGGGGAGGGAGGGAACAAAGAGGAGCTGGTACCAAGGGCTCCAATAGAAAGTAGAGGTTTAGAAAATAATGATGGCAACTTATGTACAAATATGCTTGAGACAATTGATGCATGGAGTGTTATAAGAGCTGTTAAGAACCTCCAATAAAATGTTTTTTTTAAATAAAAATAAAATGAGCAAATGAAAGAAAAGAAAAACAAACAAACCTTCCCTTAGCAATATCTGCTTCAAGCACTGCAGGAGAAACAGGGAGTTTTAAAAACAGTTCTCTTTTTAAAGGAATATCCCTGCTTCCTGTAAAAACGACCTAGCTGCTAATACAGGTTGGAGGTTCACGCCCCCAGGGGCACCTGAGGCTCTCCTTCTGAAAAGCAGTCCCGAGACTCAATGGAGAGCAGTTCTCGTCTGGCCCACACGGGGTCGTCGTGCCTGGGAACCAACCTCCGAAAGCACAAACCTGTCAGCAAAGGAAAGCGCTAATAATACTTTCCACCAGCAGGAACCCGGAACGGCGTCATGCTGCATTCCATCCAAGGCGGAGAACCTGCAAAACCAGGCACTCCGGCTGAGTTCTGGCTCTCCCCGGTTTCCACTGTACAGATTGAGCACCTACTGCACGGCAGCTCTTTCTGCAAGGTGGTTAACGCCATTCCCGTCCGGAGAAGGAAAAAGCAGAGCCGCAGAGCCCATGAGCAACCTGCCCAAGTAGCAGGAAATGCATGTCCAAAGCCTGCCTGGGCTCTTAGGACTTCTGTAGCGTGTTTCCTCCATGTTATTTGAATACACAGGAGACTGCTGTAAGCCAAGCAATTGGTTTGTGTAGCCAAGCTCAAGTGCAGTCCTGCAAGCAGTAGCTGGGACTTGGCGGATAAAGAGACCGCACACAGCAGGTGGGAGAAGCTACCGTGGGGAAACGTGGACCTGGAGATCACACCTCAGGGGGATGCGGCTTATTAATAAAACAAAAAATGGTCTCAGCCCTACGGAACTGGGGGTGGCAGAGCTGGGGGTCCTCAGGCAAGAATTCTGCGCACTAGGAGGAGCCCCGATGAGGCAGGGGTTACACGCTGGGCTGGGATCCGCAAGGTCGGCAGTCCAAGCCCACCAGCAGCTCTGTAGGAGACAGATTTGGCTTCCAGTCTGGGAAACCCACAGGGGGTGGTGGTGGCTGTGAGGCATCATGGACTGAGTTTAGTTTAGAGCAACGGTTCTCAACCTGGGGGTCGTGACCCCTTGGGGGGCGTCAAAGACCCTTTTCACAGGGGTCACCTGATTCATCACAGTAGCAACACGACAGTGATGAAGTAGCAAACGAAAATAATTTCATGGTTGGGGGGTCACCACCACATGAGGACCTGTATGAAAGAGTCGGGGCACGAGGAAGGTGGAGAACCACTGGTTTAGAGAGTTTCCGAACTATTTCCCCGAGGAGTTCTGACAATGCAAAGCAGGCTCCGGAGGAGAGGTAAGCATGGAGGAGATGTTTCCTCTCCAGAAACGGGACTAGCACGGAGTGGGTCTCCCCCGAGGATGCGGGAGGATGCGCCATTGGGCAAGAAACTGGACCCGAGTCATGCATTTCCTCTAGGTGCTGGAATTTACTCTGGCTAAGCAGCGAGCCCTGCCAGTAATGATGAGGGAAGGAGAATGGCTCTTCGCGTCTCAGCTCCTCCGGTGCCACAAAGGTCAGGCTGAGCACCAGCCGCTGCCTTTTGTAGCCCTTCCCGTGGAGGATGTATTTAATGCTCGCAGGCGAGCAGGGGATCCGTCATGTTGGTTTGCCTCTTCCTCGTTTAAGACACCTCGTAGACACACAGCAGAACCCGTTTGTGAAGGAAGGGCTTTCCTGACTGGCGGTGGTGGTTAGGTGCCAGCGAGCTCTTTCCCCACCCATGCAGACCCACTGCCCGGTCCTCCGCCACCCTCACCATCTGAGCCATCTTTGAACCCTGGTTGCAGCCACTGTGTCTGACTTCAGGCTGACAGAATGCAAACCCCACTGGAGATTCAGATGGTTATTGCAGCCCCACTCAGAATCAGTGCACACAAGAGACTCTCTCCTTTAAAGAAAAATAAAGAAGCTCTTTTTCTGCCTCTGACAGCTTGGTGATTACCACATATATGCTGCTGGCTCAATTCTGCATGTCTGGAATATGCAGAGCCAGCTGCAATCCAGACATGAATTCTGTATTCTTTGATTAGCCAACAGTCTCCATGGCTAATTGTTACTTGGCTGCTATATCTTCCAGGACCTGGGTGGTCCCTGCTTAGTCTACTGATGGGACGCGAAGGCATAAAGGGAGAGTAGAGGCCTTGTTCAAAGTTCCCAGCGGGTTATTGGCAGGGGGACACTTAGCACCTGGGCTCCCCAACTCTTTCTACTGCACCTAGTCAATGATTGACCTGGCCCCCGAGCAGACATGGCTCACTGGGTCTGGCGCTAAAGTAAGAGTGGCCCAAAGAAAATCTCATTGCATGAGAATGATTGATGTACTTCAATTCCGGTGCTGAAGAAGAATATAGAAGTAAGAACAATCAACTCTGTCTTGGAAGAAGTAGAACCAGAATGTTCTTAGAAGCGAAGGTGACATGACTTCATCTCACATACTTGGCTACAGTGTCGGGAGAGGCCAGTCTCTAGAAGGACACCATGCTTGGTCGAGTAGAAGGACAGCAAAAAGAAGGCCCTTGACAGGACAGACGGACACAGTGGTTGCAGCAGCCGGTCGCAGCCTAACAGCAATCGCGAGCCCAGTACCGGACTGGGCGGTGTTCGGTTCTGTTGTGTCCAGGGTCCCTGTGAGTCAGAACCAACCCTATGGCACCTAGCAACAACATCACAAACCTGAGTGATAACTTGCTTTGAACTAACTAGGACCCCTCAGGTCACGAGCAAATACCTCCTCCCAGGCCCCCCTTTTCTTTGCAGAGTACCAACATGTCCTTAAGGAACCTTTGGGGCTGGACAGCACGGGATGGGTTCCCAATCCTCCTTGGCAACACTTCATCCTTCCACCCTCAGACTCTTTCATCCTTCATCTTGCCAGCTCTCTCCGGCAGGAAGAGCAAGCACTGCTGGCCTCACGTTACAGCTGGGGGAAACTGAGGCTCAGAAGCATGAACTGACCCACCCGAGATGACACAGCCGACAAAGGCAGAGCTGACAGGGAACAAACTCAGGGACCTCTAATCTGGTGTTCTTTGTAGAATGACAATCCCTTAAGTGCCACGTCGGAAACCGTGCAGTCAGCCCTGCTGTCAGCCCTGCTCCTGCCGCCCTCATTCCCCACCGAATTCTGTCCCTTGTCATGCGTCGCCACTCCTA